TCTGTGCTCTTGTCCATCCCTTTGCTCTCTCTCAGCATCTCTTTACCCTTTCCGAGCTCTTCCTTCACCTTCCCCACCTCCTTTCCCACATCTTTGGACTTCTTTTGGATTCCTTCCGGTTGTCCCTTGAGCTCCTCTGACTTGTTTGTGGTTTTTTCAGGCTTTTTGAATTCCCTTGGCTCCTTCTTGCCACCTCCAACATCTTTCTTCATCTTCTCCAGCTCTTTCCTGGTTGGTAACAGCTCCCTCTGGGCTCTCACCTTGTCTGAGGGTTCCTCGTGCCTTGGGGGTGTCCCCTTCTCCTTCTTGGTGCTCTCAGGTTCTGTCCCCTTGGGTGCGTCCCCCTCCTTCGCTGGGACTTTGTTGCCACGTTGGGGGCCCTGGCTGAGGGCAGGGGCTGGAGCTGGGGGGTTGCCCCTTTGCTGGGTGTCCTTGGGGCTCTTCTCAGGGCACAACAGCTTTGCTACTTTGGGAACCTCCAAGCGAGGGGTCTCTGCTGGTTTGGGAGTGATCTTCGTTGGTTTGGAGGGAGCCTCTGCTGGTTTTGGGGACAGCGCCTCTGGTTTGCGGGGGGTCTCTCCTGGTTTTGGAGGTGTTCCTCCTGGTTTTGGGGACGTTTCTGCTGGTTTTGAGGACGCTGCCACTGGTTTGTAGGAGCGTCTCTGCTGGTTTTGGGGACGTTTCTGCTGGTTTTGAGGACACTGCCACTGGTTTCCGGGGGGTCTCTGCTGTTTTTGGGGATGTCTCTGCTGGTTTGGGGACAGCCACTGCCAGGTTGGGTGCAGGGGATGGAGTTTTTCTGGGGATGGTCCCTGGTGCAGGTGCAGCTTTTTCAGGGGGCAGCTCCTTGCACGGGGGGGCTGTGACCCCCTTGCCCCCCTGCCCCTCTACCTTCAGCCCGTTCCGCAGTGGCTCCTCACTGGCCCCACGTCCTCTGGCAGCTGGGGCGTCCCCAGCTCGGGCCTCGCCGTCCTTCCCCACGGGCTGCCAAGCAAAGGAGAGGGGCTGAATCTGACAGGGACAGGGCAAAGAACCCAACCTCAGCCCAGCCTTGGGAGCTGAAACCCCACGTGGTTTGACTGTGCCACACACAGCCAGGTAGGACATGGAGCTCCAGCCCCAGTCCACTCTCTCTGGGCATAGATGATGGCTATGGGTGGCTTCTTGAACCTGGCTGCAGGGTGGCAATCAGTGGTGGCCTCCTCCTCCTCCTCCTTGGCCACATCCCGACCCTCCACCCACCACATCCTGGGTCATCACTTGGTGCTGTTCCTGGAGACGCCTTGTGCTCCCCTTCCTGCACTCTTCACTGAACTAGAGAGCCTCACACTCTGCTTAATTACTCATCTTCCAATTAAGCAAGTCAAGAATGGCAAGTTGAATTAAGGAAGTCTCCAGCATTAATTGCTGGAGGCTGGGAGCTGGGCAGGGCTGCAGCTTGCTGCAGCCACCACATTTCCAGCTCAGCTCATGCAAAACACCCCCAGATTCCTGACTGTGGCCAGTGTCATGGGGCCATGCAGTCCCTTGGCCCCCGAAGAACTTTTCTGAGCTGAAGATAGCTGGGGACACCCAGGGACACACGGACAGTGGCCCAGCAGGACACCCCGGCACAGTGTGGGATTCACCACCACTCACCTCCTCCTTCCCGCTCGCCTTGCTCTCCTTCCTCTGTCTCGCTGCCTTGGCCTCCTTCTCGGTCTCCCGCACGAGCTGCTTGATGAACCCCCCAGGGATGACCGACAGGAGCAGGGGGGGCGCGGACGGGGGCGGCCCCCGGTCCTCGTCCCGTATCTGTTCACAGGAGCAGAGGTGGGTTATGGGGTGGGCACGGGGACAGAGCATGGCACAGCCCCGTGGGCACGTTAGTGGCAGTGGAGCTGGGAACAGCACCCTGCTCTGCTCTGCCAGCGGCTGCAGGCATTGCCCAGGCTCCCAGAGGCCATGGGCCACCCATGGACACCAGGCTGGTTCGGCGATGCTGTGGCGAGCAGAAGCACTGAGTAGAAAAGCCCACAGAGAAGCACTTAGATTTCCATGGCCACCAAGGGCTGGTGCAGCAGGAGCCCACGTGCACTGCCATCTCTGCCCCAGCACGGCCACAGGAGGATCTGTCCTGGCTGCAGTGAGTCAAGAAACAGCTCCAGCATCACCACGGCCACATGCAACCCTGCAGGTCCGTCCCTCCGCGCCAGGCCCCAGGCCAAAACCAGCCCCGCTTCCCACAGCTTTCCCAGCCACAGCCCTGCTCAGCAGCACCAGCACCAAACCCAGTGGCCTCAGCCAGGCTCAGACAGGCAGAGACTCATGTGCATCAAACAGCAGCAAAATCACCCCAGCCAAAACAATTAGGCTGTGAAGGAGCCTGGAGCCAGCAGGGTTGGACACAACAAGAGCAAAGAGTGCAGGGAGCTGTGGGGATGCAACCCCAGAGGCTGCTGCAGTGCAACCCCCCAGGACTGAGCCCCCGGGCAGGCACAAGCACCCAGCCCTGAAACACCACCGGTGCCATCCTGGACCGAGACTTTCCTTCTGCTCCCAGAGCGCGAGGCGCGAGGAGATGGCCATGGTGGCAGCGAGGCTGGACGGTGCTGTGGGGAGAGACGTGGGGACACGCCAGGCAGAGAGAGAGGAGAGAGTTAGCCATGGGCTGCTGCTGGCCCCAGGGCTGTGCCACAAGCTGTGCCGGGCCGGCAGCACCGTGACCTTGCTGGGGGTTGCCCAACCAGAGCTCACAGCACCAAATGGAGCGTGACAGCTCGGGCACAAGGGGATGGGTGGTATGGCAGTGCTGGAGAGGGCACTGCCACCAGCAGCCACCTCCAGGCCTGGCAAGGGCCAGGCAGGGTGGGGAAGTGGCTGCACAGAGTGTCGGTGGCAGCGGGGTGGTGGTGGGACCCCCCGGCCCGGTCTGGGTGGCCGCGGGAGCCCGGCCGTGCCCCACCGCGGGCTGACCCCGGCTTCACCTGTCGGGATCATTCACGCCCCGAGAGCGCCGGGGCTCGCCCGGCCCTGCCGGCGGCCGCATCTCCTTGTACAGTAAAAAGAGCAGGAGCTCCGGAGCGGCCAGGAGCCGGCTCAGGAATGTCACTTGCGTTCCCAGGCGGCAGCCCCCAGGGCCACGTGCCCTCCGGGACCGGCGCTGCTCCCCACCCTGTCCCACTCACCCGGGGCTCTTTGGACCCGGGGAGAACCGGCCCCGAGCGGCGCCGGCAGAGCCCGGAAGGTGCCTGTGGCCGGGCACTGTCACCTCCCCGAGCGGGACCCTCCGTCCTGCCTTGTACCTGGGGAAACCGAGCACGGAGGGGATCAAACACAGAGCACGGCACCAGCAAGGGCCTGGATCACCATCACCACCACTCTGCTCTCCCCGCCCAGGTGCAGGATGTGGCCCCAGTTGGGCCGTGGCCATTCGGGTCTGGTCCCCGTTTGGGACTCGCTCCCACTGCCATCCCGGTAGGTGCCAAGAGCCGAGGCCACTAAGAGATCCCTGGCCACCTCCTGCACAGGGCAGGGAGCACCGTCCCCGTTCCCAACCCCTCTCCCGTGGCAGCCTCTCCCCAGCACAGCCTCGTGCCTGGAAGCCGCCCCCGAAGCCGGGGCTGCCGCTATCGCCATCCATTCCTAACTAAAAATAACCCTCCCGGCCGAGGGGCCCACGGCCCTGCGCACCCGGAGAGCCCGTCCGGACCCCGACCCCCACCCCCAGGTGCCCCCCTAGAGCCCCCGTACCTGGCGGGGCTGCGGGCGCGGGGGGCTGTCGGCCCTCGCCGGCACCGGGCTCCGCGAGAGAGCGACAGCGGCGTGCGGGGAGCGGCGGAGGGTCAGCACACGCCTCCCCCGCCCCCGCCGCGGTGGCAGCTGAGGTGACACATGTCACTGCTAAAAATACCCGCGGCGGTGGCACCGGGGCCGCGGCTGGGGAGAGGCAGTGGCACAGCGGGACTCCCCTGTTCCTTGGCCTCTGCACCGGCTGGGACACACGTGTCACCCATGCCTTCCCTGGCACACGTGTGTCACTTGTGCCCTCCCCAACACGCTGGTTTTGCCTTCCTTGGTGCACACTTTTGCAACCCACAGAAGTGGGAGAACCTCTGTGGCTCGGCCTGAGCCCACCCAAGGCGCTCTGCTGCTGCAGGAGGGGACCCCAGGGTGATCCCCAACATCATGGCTCAGAGCTCCACCACGGGGCTCCCCAGAGCACCCCAGTTCTCCCCACCAGCCCCAGCCTGAGATGGAGCTGAGCTGGAGAGGGACCTGAGAGCAGAGCTCAAAATAGCCCCTGGCACTAACACCAGCATGGTCAGCACCCAAACAGGGCAGGTGGGAGGGGGTCAGCAGAGTGGACATGTGGTGACCATGCAGGACAGAGTGTGACCCCCAGTCAGGGTGCAGGGCAATGGCTCAGGCCAACTCCAGCTGAAGAAGTGTAACTCCCCCTCAGCCGCTCTGCATCTGACCTGAAAAGGTCCACAGACATGCCCAGGGCACCAGCTGGAAAAGCTCTGCTAATGAGAAAGGAAAGAGGATTGTTAGTCTGGAGTCACGTGGCAGAAAACTGAGGGTTGCTCCAAGCATTTTACCAACCCCAATTCTATCAAGGAACAGCACGAGGGCACGTGGTCCCGGATGGTAGTGAAGCCACAGGGGGCCTGTGCATTCCTGGGGATCCCTCTGGCACTGGTAGAAAGCCACCACTGGTCACCCATCACATATCTCCTAGTCCCTGTCGGGGATTCCCAACTGAGGATCGCCCCAGCAAGCACCATACCACCATCAAGACACAACCAGTGTGTCCCTCAGCAGGGGAAAAATCAGGATAAACACCGTGCACAGGAATAGGGGTGAGCAAAGAGACTTACCTGTGTGTGGGGCAAGGTGGGGTGATGGGGCACAGGGGTCAGTCCAGCAGTGCCCTGTGAGCAGCTGCCCAGTCTGGTACAGCCCGTCCCAGTCCAGTGGGAAGGGGCAGGTGACTCTGAAAGAACCAGGCGCCAGCACACACGCAAAGGACGGTTTTTATTGGGGTCTGGTCGTAGGAGAGCAGTTGTACTGACCAACACACAGAAGCAGCTTAGCTGTGCCAAAATAATCCGTTAAAAAAATACTGGCGGAAAGAACCAAGTGCGGCACATCCGCCACGACGGGCGAGGGCTGTAAACTCCGAGGACAGTCCGTGAGGAGCCCGAGGGACGTGCCACAGGCTCACCCGGCACGAGGACCCTCCTCCCCACAATAAATATGGAAAGAGCCAAGTACATAAAACAAGGAATGATCTCATCGATACAATATCTAAAGTTATTTACAGATCCTGGCTTTGCTTACCATTAATTACACATTTCGGACAGGTTCTCTTTCGATCATTTCCCTCATCACGAGTAGCTGTTCGTGTGAATCTGCTCCTTTTTGTTTTGAAGGACCCAATGAGGCACTGAAAGTGCTAACAAATCCCCTCTCCAAGGATGCTCCCACTTTATTCTGTTTTTCAGACTCGTTTTTATGTGCCATCTCACTTACTCTCTGCTCTCTCCCTTTCTCCAAGGAAAAAAATCCCTGTTACAGCCAGGAAAGTCTCTTCCCAGCCTGTACAAGTCACCCCAGTCCACCTCCTTTTCCAGTCTTGAAACACATTGTGTTAAACAAACCCAGGCAAACCCTGATTCTGAACAACCACCTTCCTAAACCTGTCCCCCAGTTTTCTACCAAAGCCCTGACTGGACACACCTCAGGCCAGCAACACCAGGCTCAGTGCTGTCCCCACCGTGTCCGCTTTCAGGGGGAGACACTAAGGAGCCACAACGCCACCAGTACAGTCTTACCCATCATGGGGCTTCACCTCCCTCCAGGAGCAGCTCCAGCTCACCCCAAAATTCAGTGGGATCAGGCAGGCATGAGAGGGTGAGATGGGAAAGAAGGCAGGGACTGCTCTAGGGTGAGGGAGGGATCCCTCCCCACTCCAAGAGCACGGAATGGATCTCTCCCTGGCTCCAGGCAGCCCCTCAGCAAGGAGAGGGCTTCAGCAGCAAAAAAATGCCAGATTTCACCCCAGAGATGTCATGGGGATCAGCCCTGACCACCACAGACCTTCAAGTCCACCACAGCGGCAATTAAGAGCATGTGCTGTAATACCCTGAGTATTCCTCAACCTGCAGAGGCCACGCTCACAACCAGAATCGTTTTTAGGAAATGGATGATCTGCTGAATTTGGGGTTATTTCTGTACCTCACCTGGGAAGGAGGTGCTGAGGTTGGCTCTCTACAGACGTGCCCAGTGGCAGCAACTCTCACAGTGACACCAGGATGGTACCCACAGCGAGGGGTCCAGCATGGGGGTCACCCGAGGGTTGGTCCCTGCGGGGTCTCGGAGTGCCCACTCCCTTCCTGGGATGTGACACGGAGCAGGGTCCTGCCCTGGCCCCGGCTCCCTGACAGACACCGCTGCTGCCTCATCAGGCTCTGGCCTGTTTTTAAGGATCAGGTGATCACTCTTAAGCACCAAATCCATCTCCAGTATGTACATTTTGGTGACTGTGGCTGCCTGCAGCCCATCCCTGCCCTACGCCTCAACTGGCCCCCACACCAAGTTCTCCAGCTCCAGCAGCGCTCTGGGCTCTCCTCCACTCACTCCTTACCCTCAGAATTAGAGCTGTGCACTTCCCTGAGCTGATGGCTGAGCTCTATCAAACATCAAGCTGACTCCTTGCCCCAATTTAGGTCACTGATTCTCATTAACCCAGCACAGACTCCTATGAATAAACGCTCTTGGAAGGCTGAGAGATAAAAGGGAAATTTAGAAATACCACATCAAGGGGTTGATCTGCAGGAGTTTTCCAGGTGCTTCTGCATTCATGATCCACCTTGAGATAGCCCCAACAGAGTCCAGAGTCCCTGTGCTGGGGGACAAGGGTGAGCTGCACATCCTCAGGGAGACTATTCCCACTTTAGAATGAAAAACAGAATAAAGCTGGCTGATCCTGCTTGAAAGGAATTGCCACTTCCATACACATACGGAGCAGAAATTCTGTGGAATGTCAGAAGTTGGAGAAACATGTATTTAATAAATAATATAAAATGCTTTTTATGTTAAAATAGAATTCTCGGGTTTATACCTACAGAGCATAGCAACCTTTACATAAACAAAATAAAGCTGAGTCTGTGGTGATTAGTTTAACACAAAATAAAAATACAATTTAACAATAGTATTAAAACAGCCAATGTTCCATCCACACAATATGTACACCATGGAATAGAAATCAACAGGAAACAAAAGTAGATTATCTTGAAACTCCTCAGACATTTGGATATACATCTTTTCTCTGTATATTTTAGATATTTTCCTTTTTGTACAATATTAAAATTAATACTATGCTTTGTCAAAATACGCTTTTCAGGTTTTTTTTCTTTAATTCATAGAACTGACTCATTCCTTATATTAATCAACACAATTAGAATTATTTACTGTCTACTGTACACTTCAAATAGTCCTTCCTCCAGGGATATTCTGGGTGTGAACACCTCAGAGCTGAAGGAACCGTGTCACTGCCACGTGCTGAGAGGGGCACGGAGACACCCGTGTGCCAACGGCTGTGGGATGTGGATATGGACGAGGAATTAAAGAACCTGGCCCTAAAGCTGTTCAGCTGCCAGGGGAAGAGCAACTCAGAGCTCCAGGGATGTCACTCCTTATGAGTGATTTACTGTAAACCCAAGGAATGCCAATGCCAAGTCACCACAGTGCCAGGGCTTGGTCCTGCTCAGGGGGCAACATCAACCCCTGAGCAGCTCTCCTGGGCACAACAGTGTCCACTTGGACAGGACCACAACCAAAACAGGTCTGTTTTAGCACAAAAACTCAGCGTTTCCATCACCTACACACTGCGCTGCAAACACCTGATTTATATCAAAACCAAACCGAACCTCATAATCCAATTTCCATTTTTCCCCCTGGACGGAAGTGGGAGAAGAAAAACTTCCACTGAGTTTTTAAAGGGGAGGTGCTGAATCACAGAATCATGGAATATCCTGAGTTGGAAGGGACTCGCAAGGATCATTGAAGTCCAGCTCCTGGCCTTGCTCAGGATAACCCCACGAATTTGAGGAAAATTTGAATGTGACTAAGCCAAGGTCTATCCCTGGAGCTGCTCTCCCTACCTGCCAGGCTTCCCAGCCATACTTTCAGCTATTTTTAGCCTGCTCCAAGTTTTTTTGAAGCCTAATGGGGGACGGGAGAACATACCAGGAATGTCAATCGAAGCTGGATCCACTCCAGCATTACTCCAGCTTATCTCACAGCAACAGTTTGGGAAGAACCTGTGAGCCTGTGGCCACAGGCTGTGTTGGACCAGGGACAAGAACAAGACATAAAGCTCAACATAACTAACAGGAAGAAGCTTTTACACTTGGAGAAGTAGACAGCCAACACTTGGCTGAAGGATTGAAAAAAATTCATAGATGTTCCATTAACAGGTTAATGAATTTGCAAAACAGTTACCAAATAAAGCTGAGTAATACAAATTTATACCTGCAATGACGAGACACCTGATCTGACCCGGCGTCCAAGGGAGCACCTGACTCAGTCAGGAGACACCAGCCAAGCTCATCCCTGCTCCAAGCAGTTCCTCACTCAGCCTGCAGCAGGAATAACTGTGGCTTTGCTTCTCCTGCACTTAAATTTCTACTCATAGAAACCTGACTTTGCCCAGAATTCGCTGTATCCCTATTCCTCAAGAGAGACATTAATTTACAGCAACTCCCACATATCAAAAAAGCACAGGGAGCAGGGGTGCAGCTCCTCAAAATGCCCCAGGACCCCCAGCCCAGCTCTCTCCCATCCCACTACTCCTGCTGGCTTTCCAGGATCTGGTCCTACTGCATTTGCCAGCTACAAGGAACAATCACGATATAATCCCTGCAGCCCTGGAGAGACGTGGATGTGTCAGGGGGTGTTTAACGTGGCCCTATCCAGGTGTAATTCTCCATTTTGGAATATCAGAAACAACTCCCGCGCACGCTTAAATCTTCAGTCCAGCTGATGCTTTTTAAGAGGACTTTCAGATAATTTGTTTAAAAGTCTGTTTAATCATTCACTCAGCTGAATGAATGCTGTGGATGCCTGAAGCTCTAATTTCTTTACTTCCCTGAACATTAACAAAAATACAACTCCTACAAATATCTACAAATACGGTCAAAATGCACAAAAGACAAGGCCGTGCCTGACGTGCCTTTCCGCGTTCAAATCAGTTGACTAAAGAAAACCAAATCTGCTACTGCCCCACTCTCACTGGAGATGGAGAGCTGACTGAGGGTGGACCGGGACGAGGCAGTAAGGGCCATGATTACAAGCACAGTCTGGGGCCATCCCAACTCCAAAATACAAGTAATTTCCTAAGTCAGTACACAGCCTTCATTTCATAGATAAACTCAGGTTTTGAGGCATGATTTCCCAGTTGCTGCCCTGTCCCTCCCCCTCCTCACCGACACCAGCACCCAGAATCTGCTGAGCAGAGACTGCCAATAAGGAGTGAGAGTAAAAACCAGCCATGGAAAACAGGTGAAGGAGAAGAATGGAACTGACCATGGACTAAAAAAGTACAAACAAGTTACACAAGAACCGTGAGCAGCTTTGAACGCAATCTGAAGGGGTTTTCTAAATCATGAAGAAAAATAAGAGCACTGCATGATATTGTAGGGAGAGCTGAACGACACCCAGTGGCATGAGACATTTCCTATCCCAAGCATTTTTAAATACCACACACAGAATAATGGAATCATTCAGACTGGAAAAGAACTCCAAGATCTTTGAGTCCAACCTTTGACCGACTACTTGGACACTGCTCCTTACAGAGGAGCTGAGATGCTCAATGACACTTATCAGCAGGAATGACAGAGAGGCTGGTACCCTTTACATGGAATAATTTGGAAAATAAATGGGGAAAAAAATCATTGAAAGTAATCACTGACTCACAGAGGGTATTTTCCAGGATGTTTTTCCTTTGATGAAGCCCCTGATGGTCAGATAAGAGTTTGCATGGGCTCTGCAGACAACCCAGCCCCACTTCTAGAAGCCAATACAGCCAACTTTATTACCTTTCAACAAGGAAAGAGGTCTGGAAGTCTGTGGTTGTCTGACAGCAACATGCACACTGGGGGGATGGGGGAAGCTGTCAGGGCAATTTCTGCTCTCATTTACCAGACACAATTCCCATTGTCTTTGGGGACTTCTGAGAGTTGTACCTACAGAGCTGAGAAGAAAATCTTCTCAAAGGTGTTCACTGAATCAGAAAAAAAGCTTAAATTCAGCCCTGACCTCTCTCTTACAAGCCATCACAACACCCAGGGCAAGGCTGACTGGACGAGCTTGAAGCTGTTGGACAGTTCAGGATTAGATCTTGACTTCAGCACGAGTTCAGCACAACACGACTGATACCTCAAGTAGAATTAACAAAAACCGGGCATTTGATCAGCTCCCTCTGTCAGTACCACACTCAGTTTTCTCAGACTGTTTACAATGTGGACAGTTTGAACTCTTTACAAGAGAAAAATCAAAGATCCTTTCACAAGCTGAGCTGTGTGATATGTGCACGAACCTCCTGGGCTGAGCTACAGAGAGAACTGGGATATCTATGCTATGAGAACACACCTGTGTACAACAGAGAAGGATCCACGAGTCCCAGAACTGGAGTGATCCAGAATACGTACCAAGGTACCCAGACATTTGAACCCAGCACATGCACTAGAATGCATTGGATTTGAATAATTTCTTTTTAATTTTTAAAAAGTGCAGTTGACCTGAAATGGAAAAGAACTGTCTTTATGTTCACTGTAAACTTGTCAAAAGGAATCTGCTCTTTAAAAACTGTGCTAAAATAGTCAATTTATACAACAGAGCACTAGATGAAGCTACCATAAATTCCTCTTCACCAATTATTACTCTATTGTGTCAGTTATAGTACTGCATATACGTAGAAGAAGCAAAACGGTGGTAGCTACTATTAGTGAGTACAACAAACCAAGGGAATAATTCGAGTTCAACGCTCCCATGAAGTAGCAATAACATTTAAACCACAGGACAGTTAGAATTCAGTACTTTGAAGTGCATAAGAGTCACACTGTTGATCATCAGCAGTATGGAGAAAGGTTATTATAGAGTCAGCAGTAATGGTTGGAAAGGACATGGCAACACGACAGAGTGAGGGTCATCCAACAGGGCGGCAGCTCCGGGTCCGTCGGTGTCACCGTGGAGTGTCACCCCAGCCAGCAGCACCCGCGCCAGCCCCAGGCCTGGTGCCACCAAACGAGGGGATCGCAGGGAAAACAGCCTCTTCCTTCCATCAGTAGTTCCAGAGTAACGGAGCACATCCGGGCCCCCGCCGGGAGTGGGGACGCGTGGGAGCAAGGAGCAGCCTCTACGCTTGGTGACTTCCACCGCTGCAGGAGCAGGAATCCACCCGCCACCCTTCCAGTCTTCACAGCCTCCAGAGACAGAGTTCTGACATGATCCCACGCTGTAAACATCGAATTCCTCCTCTTTTAAGCACATCCCGCGTCCAGGATTGCACAAAGTCATTCATAAGGATTCTGGGACACTCTGCATGTTCACCAAGTAGCTCTCCCTACGTGAACGTGGTTCGTGTCTCCTACAGCCCGTTGCTGTTCCTGTGGCTGAGCGGTGGCTTCGAGAGCTCTACAACTGTGGAGCGAGATTTATTGAGAAACTTTGGAGCCCGGCGCAGCAACCTCTGGGCCTCAGTGAAAGCTTCCGTCAGCTCTTTTTTCCACTGAACAAATTCGGGGTCACTCTGAAAGAGACACAGAAGCAGTTTGGCACTTCAACAGCATCTTCTGTCTTACATAGTCCCTTAAAGGAAGTTATTTTAATTTTCCAAAGGAACAAGCAGCTTTGGGTATTGCCCACGTGCAGCCCTTGGCTTCTCCATCACCCCGCCGAAGGCTGGACACAATGTTTGGAGGAGTCCTGCACTTCTCCCTGGCAAACACATGAGCTACAGCAACTCCCTGCAGTGACACATGAGCCAACAAGGCCCTTGGAGCCCACAGAGGTTGAGCAGTTTTGAAGTTTTTAAGCTATTTAATAAACTGAACTCGTTTTGGCCCAAATACCAGTGAAATCCATGACAGGAACTGGCACAGTTGCAGGTTTCCTGCTTTCAAAACTCGAGTGTGATAAACACTTCAGCTCTGCTTCACAAAGGGCCTTAGTTAATATGCAACAGGAAGACCTGAAAACTTGTCAGTCGTTTATCATATGCAAAACAATCTGATTAAGTTATAAAAAAACAAGTGTCTTACCTCACACTGTAGGACAAACTGTTTTCCTCCTTTAATTCTCAGTAAGATGCATTTCTTATCTTTAATTTGTGTTTCTTCAACAGATACTATTTGTTCCATTGTCAGCAGGTTTTGCTGCAGCATTTGCAAAAGAGCAGAGAATTAATTGAAAAAAAAAACCCTGTTACCCATCAAATAAAAGTCACTATCTCATTTTTCTAGACTCGCCACATGAATTAAGTTATGAACATTAAGATTCATTACACAAACATTTATTTCTGAAGGCTGGGTCATGAACTAAAGATAGATTGTAAGGTAAGAAACGTTTACAAGGGGCCTGGTTGCTTCAACAGAGACAACGGAATATCAGCTCTGAAAGCCAGTAATGACAGCATGAAATAAGAATCTACAAATAGGTGTGTCTGCTAACAGAATATTCACTATTTTCCCTCCAGAGTTGCATATAATTTGATACATTTTCCAAGTATTACTGCTGTTAAAAATAAAAGCCAATCTTACTATTTCTAAGAGCTGAAAAGGAATATTTCAGCACTAAATACTTCCAAAGTGAACATACAGCAATGTGCAGGAAAGCTTTCCCTATAGACAGCAGAGGACACAATGTCTTAAATTCCAAACCCTCTCTTAACTAAACATACAAATTATCTGCCCTGCACATGAGCACAGCTGGGCTACACTACAGTCACTATAGCATTTTCTTGGAAACAAAATGCTATAGCATTGTCACCTTACCAGTTTGTGTTTTTTTGTATAAATAGTCCAGAGGTCCTAAATAAAAAACAACACCATCAACTACCAAATTCCTTTAAAAACATAACAAAACAGAGTAAACAGGTTTCTCAAGTCAACTTTGTCTCCTCCGTGCAGTGTAGCTACCGATTAACTACAGCGATGCTGGAGATAAGTTACTCAAATCCACAGGGCATTTACTAGGATAAAGCATTACCACAGGAGGAACACCTGGGCATAAGTCCTCAGATGTTCCTCCACCTCCACCTGCATTCCAGTGCTGCTCCCAGTGTAGCCTCACTTACCCGGGACTCTCCTTCTCCTCGCCACTCAAGCCGGTTTGGGAAGAGGTAAAAGTAACGACGCTGCCACTGAGTCAGGAAGGGGTTCCCCAATTTCAGCATGTATCCATGCATTATACAGTCCTTCCCCAGGGCATAATCTAAAACAAGAGGGAATTATCAGCAAAGCAAACCAAGGTACAACCTAAAAGCATTCTGTAGGGAGCTTTGTGGAAAAGGGACGGAATCCTGGGCACGGGAGACTCGATGTGCCCTCAGCAGGTTGAAATCCTGCTTGTGTGTGCACACACAGCCCCAGTTCTGCCTTAATGATATGGGCTGATGCACCTGCAGTGGAGTAACCAAGAACACACTTGGTTCTTAAAAAAGTATCTCAACAAAGTATGTTGTTAAAAGAACTGGATATTGCTCTCCAAAGTCTGCGGGTTTGATGCAACTTGCAGACTGCAGTTTGCTGTACGGGACCTCCAGGGGCCCTTCTCAGCTCCTGATCATGAAATCAAACCCCACACACTGTGAGGGTGGTGAGACCCTGGCACAGGCTGCCCAGAGAAGCTGTGGCTGCCCCATCCCTGGAGGTGTTCAAGGCCAGGTTGGACAGGGTTTGGAAGCAACCTGATCTAGTGGAAGGTGTCTCTGCCCATGGCAGGGGGTGGAACGAGATGATCTTTAAGGTCCCTTCCAACCCAGACCATTCCATGATCTATGATTCTATGATACTCTTTCCAAAGCGTGATGTCATCAGCCAGCATTTCAAAACATTAAGAAACATCTTAAGCAACACGACAGTGACTAAACAAATTCTAAGGATTCCCGGTGAATGACAGTCACGGGAGTGTGTGGTGTGGAACTGCAAGCACAGGAACTACTATCTAGGAGCAAAAGATGAGAGAAGTGTAAGGACAGATTACCTTCCTCGTGGCCAAGCTGCTTATTTTTAGCCCTTTTTCTGGCCTCAATTTTATCTGTGTCTGCATTTACTGCATCATAAACAGTTTCTGCTACTTCTTGCTGCCAACGCTCCGATATTACCAGAGGGAAGTTCTTATACAACTCCTGGTCACTATCAAGCAACTTGCAAGAGAAAAACAACATAAAAACCCAACATTTTAGTAACTTTCACTATTCTTATCCCCAACAGTTAATAGTTATCCATACAACAAAATTATTTAAAAAGCAGTATTGAGCTCAGACCTTCACAAAACAAACAGATGCAAGCAAGAGAAGCACAGACACTAATTTAAGCAAAGATATTAATTTATGTGCAGAGAACAGGCCACCTGCTAAAAACTTGTTTGGTTTGATAGCTCTCGCTAGCTCCTCACTCAACATTGCCCCATAATGTTCTCTAGACTTCACATTTAAATAATTACTCAAATAGAAGCAGCAGTATTCTGAACTTCGTTGCATAAAAGTTTCCTCAGCACAAAAATTCCATGAATAAATGAAAAGATACCTTTTCCACAGCAATGCTTTCCATGCTTCCACAGCTGGGTTTAACATTCTTAATAATTATTCTACAAAATGCAGCAGCGTGTGCTGCAGACCTCAATTTTCTTGTTTTAAGGATTCTTTTCTCTTCTACCTTTGAATCCTTAAACTGAATTGCACCGAAGGAATTAGGAAAAATTCTTCACCAAAAGGGTTGTCCAGCACTGGAACAGGGCAGTGGTGGAGTCCCCATCCCTGGAAGGGTTTAAAGCCATGTGGATGCAGTGATGCTGCAGCAGTTGCAGGAGCAGCATAGGAAAACCTGGCTTAATTCTCCTTCTACAGCCAGGCCAGGCACTCCTGGAGTACATATTCTTCTCCTTTCAGAGATCCATAGCTGTATCACAGCAGGAAAATACACACACAGAAGACTTCTCTGTAGTTCCAGGGGCTTCCTACAGCACCCAAGTAAGGAGGAAAAGCCACAGGCATGCACTGTTGGCTCTCCAGCTGGTAATCCCAAAGCTCATGTGTTCTTCTTGGGGTCATGGGACACTGCAGGGTAAATATAATCCCCAAGGGCCATGGAGCACAGCAAGGTGTTCAAACTGGTGTCCTCAGGGGCAGCTCTGGCTCCTGACACCTCACTGGCAGCTCTGGCTCCACTGACTCAGAGGCAGGAATTACCCAGTCCCCCTCTAAAGGCCTGTGACACCACAGGGAGGCTGGACCTGATATCCCTCACTGACTCATCTCTAAGAGCAAATTTATCCTATAGGCAGACCGAACTATTAGATCCTGAGATTAAACTGGAAGTGCCATGGCAATGAACTGGCTATATGATTCACACCCAACAATATGAATCAATAAATAGAAAGACCAACCGGTTTCTCCTTGCAAAATGTTCCTCAGAATTCTGGCATTCCAGAATTGCAGAAGACTGGAGTCCTGCTAAACTAACACTGAAGACATGGAGTTTTCTGGGATAAAGAACCTCCTGGGCTCTCTGCACTTCTCTTTAAACACATAAAATCTTTTCAGAGCCAACTTCTGTCACCACAGCAGGTGACACTGACAGACAAGCTCCTTTTCAGACTCAGTGAGTACTAAGTGTGGCTTTTTGCTTATAAAGTTTAGAGCAATTAGTTTCTCTCCTGACTCACTTCTGTAATAACTGCAGAAATGTGTGATAAAAAGAATGAAGAGGACAGACCCAAGACAACCACTGACTCACTTGCTGTCCCAAAGTCCCAGAGAAGCTCCAGAGAAGAAAGATATTCACAGCGGGGGGGGGTCACACCTGAGTCCTAAAGGGGTCAGCAGTTTCAACTTCCTTTTTTTTTTTTTATTTATATTTTTTCATTAGATTTTTGAAAATACCAGAACCTGAAAGTTTCTTTTCACTTTTCTAATTTAAAACATTGCTAACATCAATAGTTTGTCATTTTTAAGAGTTTTCCACTGCACTCTCTGACCACTAAACCAGTAAAATAAGGTTTAGTTCAATTTATCCAAGCTACCAGAAACAAATCACAATTTTTAAACCTATAAACCATCAGGTGTTCTTGAAAACATGAGGCTTTCCCAATTGTCTTGTGATCATTTGAAATATCTGTTTTGTCACAAAAAACTGCCCAGAGCTCACAGAGCATTTGGACAATGCTCTCAGGGACATGGGATTGTTGGGTGTTCTGTGCAGCGCTAGGAGTTGGACTTTGATGATCCTTGTGGGTCCCTTCCCACGCAGGGTATTCCATGATCCTACGACACTTGTGATAGGAAGGCAGATTTCAGTCAATCTGAAAACATAAGGACTTGGCAAACAACAACCCAGGGAACCAGCCCAAGGTATCTCTTTGGTACCAACACGGACTGAGTTTCCCAACCTGAAGGAATTCCTTGCACATCCAGCAGCACCGAAGCAAAGGAATGCCATGCACACATGGAAAGTCAAGCACAGCAGTCCCAGTGCCACCCTCCACCTCTCACTGGAAGCTGAGTACCTTAATGCCTTTAGTGTCCTCTTCATCAAACGACCCGATATCGAAAGCATCTGCTGCATTCACTTCTCCCCGGGGAGGAATCAGTGGTGGAGGGTACTAGAAATTAAAAGCAGCATAATGAAAGACAAAATAACTGGCATTATTTAACTCCATTCTGTAAGCTGTACACAGCGGTTTTATTTTTTTGCACAAATGATACATGACCATTCAAGAGTGTGTCCCTTGAAATTAAACTTCAGTCCAAAGTTGTTGCCACTCTTTAATAAAAGCTCCTTCAAAAATCTGGGGAAAAAACTCTCCAATTTAGAGACAGTTAAGCTGAAGAAACCATGCAACCATTTGTCACTGAAAAAGTAACAACTCACTACTGAGATCTGTAGTGATGACTATTCAACAGCTTTCATCAACAACCCTCCACATATTTGTGCCAGTGAGTACATGTCCTAGGGATTGGGATTCTGAAGTTTTCTGTCCATTACCTGTTTGGGCTTATTTTCCTTTTACTGTTAATCAAGGAAGCTAAAATTACTGCCTTCATCCTTTACCTTCTGTAAATAGACTTGCTGCCAATCAATGCCTTTGAAGAAAGGATGTTCTTTTACTTCTTGTGCGCTGCAAAATAAAAATAAAAAGTCAACAAATGAAAGGGCTTTTCAAATGTATTCAAGAAATACAAAGCCTTCAAAGGTCACATTTCTATCACTTGAAAACATCAGGGAAATGCTCTTTTTCGCAAGGAAAAAAATAAACATTCCTAAGTAAACAACAGGAGAAAAGATTTTCATGTGGAAACACTCAGAATAGTGCTGTAGGGCTGGCAGGGAAGCACTTCTGATAGCACCCCATCATTTCAAACACCAAAGGATATTCCTCTGCTGTCAGATCTCAAACAATGATCTGCATTAGATCTCAAACACTCATCTGTGTCAGATCTCAAACACTGATCTGTGTCACATCCCAAACGCTGCTTGTATGTAACCAGATTACTCCACACCATTTCACATTACACAAATTTTATGGGAAAATGAACCACCAGTCTTGTTAGGCCCCAGGGAAAAGTAGTCTCAGGTCATTATCAAAGAAGGCTCCAAGACAAAATCTCTGAATCTCCCACTGGAACTGGAGCCAGCCCCAGGCTCAGGGCCATCAGTTACCTGTTATCACACATCCCCAAAGGTTTCTCAACAGTTGTTTACTTCTCTCCTTGTTCCCTCTCCCAGTCTCACACTGGTTTCTTAAACAGTTGATAACAACAATCTCATGAGCAGCTACAACGAGGTGAGCTTGGCAGGAGCAAGGAGTGTTTTGCAGTCAAGAAACCAAAAGAAAAAGCCTTTTCCTTAGGACCATGAGACAACACAGGTAGTACCAGCAATATTCACAGCTTCTTTGCTTGGTGGCTTTGGGATTGCATTTTTTTTTTCTCTTTAATATGTTCCTATCGTTACAGATAAAATATAAGCAATAAATTTTCCTATCAGTTTGTCTGAGTCAAGTCATATGATTTCATGCCAAAACAGATCAGGTAAAACCAGAAAAACAACCCAGGGATGAGAAGTAGGAACACCACCCAATGTAAGTATACTGCAGGGAACTCAGGGGAAGGCTTTAAGGACAGAAATTGTCCAAAAAATGTGTCCAAACCAAAGGAAGCTGAAATGTAATTCCATGCAGCAGCACTTTTTAATGTTCTCTTTCCAAAATTAAAATCCTCACAACAGGAAGCAGATTTTTACTTGAAATGAATTCACTCATTGACAGAGAAGTGGAAATTTTTCAAGGCAGTGGTCCAAGGAGAAGACAACACCTACCTTCTTCCTTGGCATCCAAGCCTCTTGCTCACATCCCGCTGCAGGAGCCCTTCCAGAAGGGACTTCAGTTCAGGAGAAAATGAGTCTGGGAGCTCCACATTCTAGGAGGAAAGGAAGTACAAAGAGATATTTCGTGATGGAAGCTGTGTGATCTGATTTCTTTTCTTGGAGAGTGTTTGTAAACAACCCTGCCATGTGCAAATACAGCTGTGTACAGGTGTGTAGTTACAGTTTTTAGTGGAAATGGGAGTTTAATAACATGGTGAATGTAACTGTGCCCAAGCCTTACCACGGTGAGCGTCATCCGGTCGATCTCATGCTTATCTTTGGTTTTGTGCTGCCTGAAAGGACTGTGCCTGTGGAAACAAACAACAAAAAAATACACTAATAAATGTCAAGCCACAATGTATCAGAGTGTTTCAGCTGTGGCAAACCCAGGAAAGCGTGCAGCATCCTGTTAGCCCCATCCTTCCCCCTCATCAATCCTGCCCTGAAGAACAATCTGTCCAGTTACTCCACAGGAAGGTGAGAAGGAGGTTGGGTGATCCTCAAACACACTGATCTGTCCTTAAAGATGTGTTTCAAATGCCTCACCAAGTAAATCTGTCTTCCAAATATCTGAACACTTTCACTTGACAAGGAAGCCCCAAGCAGCCATCACACAAAGGGGTTTAAAAATAAGGATTTATATATGGAAACTGAAATCATCACCCCCCTACAAGGGAGAATGAAGTAAAACCTTCAAGTAAGCAGATGACAGAGAGGGTAATCACAGATCCCACAGCACTAGCCACTGGGAAGATATTTGATGCTATCTGGTAGATTATCAGCTTTATCCCTTTCCTGCTTTAAAATTCTGGTTTGAGTCTGACTTTTCCTTTAAGCCATAGAAGACCGTGAAACATTAGAGATTTACCACACAGTCCTTCATCAACAGCATGAAAGAAAGAAGCAGCACTGTAGAATGAGATTTTTTAATTAGATTTATGAGGGGATGATATTTTTCAAAATCAAAATGTTATTCACTTATCAATTACATTAATTAGCTATTCTAAAGCCTTTTGTCTTGCACATGGCAGTGTGTACTAGCACGTTTCAACTGGAGACCTGCTACTCCAGAGTTATTTTCCTTTTTTCCTCAAAAATGTTCTGATGAATGGATCCGACGGACAGACCAGGACTTACATTTTTCTGTTTTTAACCATGACAGGTAAGAATAAATGGCTCCCACACAGCCTCCTGTACTCTGACAGCGAGGCTCGGAGTAGATCAGGGAAGCAAATGATTCACTGGGGACTTATGGGCAGATTTTGTGCCAGACTAAATTTACTAAACACCAAGAAATGGCACCATGTGCCCAACCCTTGTTTTGGGATGTGTTTAATTGGCTTCAAAACAGATGAGGAACGATAGTTCACAGTGAATAATGCTCTGGCTTCTGGCCGACCACCGACACCGCCCCACACATCTCTGTCGGGGAGAATCACGGCCCAAAAGACAGAGATCTTCCTGAGCCAGCCCCAGTGTCCGTGGGAAATGAGGATCATTTATCCCTGTGCAGTGTGTTTGTCAGGACCACCAGGGAGGTGGTGGAGTCCCCACCACTGGAGGTGTCAAAGAAACAACTAGACGTGGCACTCAGTGCTCTGGGCTGGGTGACAAGGTGGGGATAGGTCACAGGTTGGACTTGATAATCTTGGAGGACTTTTCCAACCCTGTTCTGGAATTCTGTGTGTGACAGATGGTCTCCTCCCTCCTCCCAGCAAACCCAGCCCACCGTGTCCTGCTTCCTACAGAATTCTTCAATTAATATTCAACAGAGCACTGCTCCCAGCTACACTGTCTGTACTTTGAAATAGATATTTCTGGCAATTTAAACACCGTTTCTTTATTTGCACACTTACCTAGTCTATTTTGTGCACAATTAATGTTAAATTGATACAGTTCAATTCACAAGTCACACACTGACCTTCTTTTTTACAGTGTCTGCACAGGGGTAAGAGCTTATAATTAATTATAGTTAATTATGTATGAGGACACAGGATGATCTAATGACCAATCTCTACAGAGAAGCACTGTGAAAAGCTGAAAAGATTTCTTCTGCTTTGCCATTAACACTGAGGATGCCATTTCCAACAAGCACTTGCCCATCAGCGCTTGTTGACTGCTCAGATAAATCCTGTGGTATTAATCAAATCTATAAGTTTAATGAGAAGGTAATTGCTGATAAAGCTGTAATTATCATGTACCTTTGGATACTGATAAGGTAACAGGACAGATTCAGCACATGGAAGGATTCAGACTTTGTACCTGACCCAAACTCTGCAGAAAGGAAGGCTGAGTATCCCATAAAAAGGGACCAGTACAGCCAAGAGTTTCCCCACAACAGCAGGTCTCAGGCATAAAATGAAGCCCATAATTTAACAGGGCTGCTCAGTGTACTTAGGCAGCGAGTAACCTCACAGCATTTAAAATACTATCAGCTGCCAAGAGATGAGTAAACTGCTGTCAGTAGCAGTCAAAGAGCATACAGAGCATCTGCCTTCCTCATGTCCCACACCTGCACCTGCTACAGGACACAGGGTTGGGTTGGGTTTGGTTTGGTTTGGAAGAGAAAAGCCTGGTTTAGTCTCATGTGTGGACGTGGTCTAAGCTGCAGGGTGGGAAGTCAGGTAAACATTTCAGATAATCTGTAACACATCATGTATTAGCATTTGAAGGGACAGACGATGAGGAGGCCCAGCCTCAAAGGGGAAAGAGCCTTCACTCACCCCCTCAGCAGTTTGAACAACATGCAGCCCAGGGAGAACCAGTCGGCACTGCTGTCGTACGCCGTGCCCTTCTGGAGCACCTCGGGGGCCATGTATCCGTGGGTACCTCTGCAGAGCAGAAAGGGGCAAAAGCTTCATTACAACCAACACTATCATTTAAAAAATAAGCCCAACATTAAAAATCAGTGTTTTCTCAATAAGACGGCCTAATTTTAAAAGAATTCATTTTAAGCATGATTTTATTTTGCTTTCAGTGGGTTTCCTATGTCTCCTTCCACCTACACTTAGGTGACCACAGGTCCCCTCCTCCCAAACTCACCGCTGGGCACCACCAGAAGAAGCCACTAGGTATTGCTTTTACCCTTGACACAATCAAAACATAAGAACTTTTTTCAAGAAGCTACTGAATTGCAAATCTTTTGAGGTGTGACAGGCTGGAGCTTTCCTTTTTGCATAAATTATGAGACTAAATCAGGGCAAATGAGGACCTAAGAATAAAACATGCCAGGTAAGATGTGAATCTACACACAACCCCAGGAACTCAGATCCCAGTTAAGACCTGCTGCCAAGAGGCAGAATGGAACCAAATCTACCTCCAGTTCTACAAAGATCCAGAAAGACACAATAAGTCCTGTTTTTTAGTCCTTTTTGGAATATTTAATTATCCATTTAGGACAATTAAAACAATCTGGTACTTTAACTCAGCCAGGTTCTTCTCTGAGCGGTGAATCATTCCGAAATAATGTGTCATCTCCCAGCCATGCCTACACATCAGCTGCTACAACTGTGCAGGAAAACAGGGAGAGGAGACCAAAAAACCCCATTAGAGCTTCCAGCTTAGCAAGCCTGGGCCACACAATTGTCATTTTAGTCCCTTTAGGCAAAGTTAAATTATAAAGACAAATTCAGGATGCACTTAGCACTACCTGTACACACAGCAGAGCTCCCAGATACAATACTTACACACTGGCATGTGGCTTCTTTTTGGAGAAATCACAAGCCAGCCCAAGGTCTGATATCCTCACGTGCCCGTGTTCGTCCAACAAGATATTTGCAGGCTGTAAATCAGACACAGGAAGGTGATTGCTTGGAATCCTCCAACTGACAGAACTGCAAATTCTCAGAACACAGTAACTGAAACATCAATACTCTCAGGTAATTGGTAACTGCCTTTTTTTATCTAACATCAATATACCAGACACTTTCTAGGTAAAATCTACATTCTCACAGAGCACTGCCACCAACTCCACAGGTTATGAAATACTGAATAACAGAACAGAAAAACCAGGCATGGTTTGAAACACAAAGCACGTAATAAATGAATAAATCTGTTTTGGCTTCAAGTCCTAGTTGATTTTGGTTCTTTCACAGCTGGGTCTGTGTGTGGCTCTTACACCTTTTATTTGCCATCTCTGTGCAGACTTTTGTCCCCTTTTGTTGCCATTTGGCTCAGGGACACCTCTATGGGAACTGTCCTCTACTTCCCAACTGCCAGTGAAACACCCCCAGCAACTGTCCTGCTGTTAGTCCCCCATTACACACACAGAGGCCTCTTTCAGGGCTCCCAAAATACAGTGTATTCTCTAAATTATTCCTGTAACTGAGCAGGTGGGATAAGTAACACTGCACAGGATTTATTGTGATCCCAAGGAAGCCTCTCCGCAGGCTGGTTAAACTGGATAATGGTACAGATTAGAAAGATTTTGAAAAGTTATTACAAAAATCAGGCAGATAAAAGAAATAATCCTCCCCAGAAAAGGCTTCAGGTGAGATAATCCATTGTTGTCAGTGTGCCTGGACTATTTGCTGCCTGTGTGATGCAGTCACTAACCATTACCTTCAGGTCTCTGTACACCACGAAGCGATTGTGCATGTGTTCTAAGCCCAGGATGATTTCAGTAGCATAAAACCTCATTTCTTTTTCAGAAAACACTCCATGCTGGGAGAGGTGGTAGTGCAAATCTCCTCCTAAAATGAGAAGAATGGAGATGCAATTATATGAACAGTAAAATCTTGCCCCATAGGCAGGCAGGGTGATGCTGGGGGGGAACAGCACAGCATTTGTAGGTTCTTATCACCTGTGGAGCAGACAGACCCAGCCCTGCCCTCTGCAAGTCCTACAGTGACAGAATAGCTGAAAAAGTTAATAAATAAGTCTGACCTATCTGAAAGTGCATTTTAAAAATACATTTACTTCATATACATTTGCATTCAGTGACTAATCCAGCAAGTTAAGTCTTTTTGCAAAGGATTTCCATGGCAAGTGAAAGGCACTAACACACACTGGTTTGTGGAGAACTGAACAGATCAGCACATAGAGCAGCCCAGGCTTGAGGGACCAAGCGCCTCAGCAACCCTCCCGCCAAAAATTTCTGTAACAACATCATCATTTGCATGAGTCTTGCTTACCATTCATGAGGTCCAGAATGAAGCAGAGTTTGTCAGGGGTGTGGAAGGCATAGGTCATACAGACTATAAAAGGACAGTCCTGGAAGGGAAGAGCAAAGAGGTCACCATGGACAATGAGCGAAGTGTGACTTAGAGAACCTAAAAATACACGTGACACTTTTCCTGTGATATTTGCCAATATTCAGAAGTTCTATCCTCACCCAGACAGGAAATGCAGCTCCAGTGGTAACCCCTGTCCCTGGCTGAGGTCCCCTGCCCAGGTGACAGTGAAGGTGATCTGCCACCGCCACTGCCCTTGGCTCCCTGGCAGCATTTCCAGCTGAGGACTGAAGGGACATGAACACACCAGGCAGGAAGTCGGGACCCTGGAGCACGTGCAATGCTGGGGAAGCAGCAACAGCAACACCCAGATTGTGCAAAGCCCACAACACAAGGCTGGTGGGTGCAGATTCGGGAGGTCACTGAAGAACAGCCAGGGACAGGGACGGATGACACCCCCACCTCCTGATGCACCTTAACCTCAATTCACCCGGTGTTCAAGACAAGCAGCCACAGAAATACAACTGGAAAATCACCCATTTATTCCAAAGGTCTGCTCAGCATGTGGGTACCTCCATAACGCACATGCATTCAAAGCCACCGAGGCAGCAGGTTGGCAGAGTTTCCTCTTCATTGTGCCTGTGCCAGATGCAAGTGGCTAATTCATAGAAATATGGAATCATTTAGGTTGGAGAAGCCTCTAAGATCATTGAGTCCAACCATTCCCCCAGCACTGCAAGGCCAACACTAAACTATGTCCCCAAGTGCCACATCCACATGTCTGTTAATATCCCTAGGGATGGTGACCCCAACAATGCCCAGGGAAGCCCATTTCAGGCCTGGACAACCCTTTCCATGAAGAATTGTCACTGCCCTGGCCCTGCTGGCCACACTACTGCTGGTACAAGCCAGGACATTCTCGGCTAATTAACAGGCAGTGGCTATTACCTCATCAATCTCTTCAAAGCCATAAAAAACCAGAATCACAGAATCACAAAATGGTTTGGGTTGGAAGAGACCTTAAAGCTCATCTGTTTCCAACCACCTGCCATGGGTAGGGACACCTTCCACTAGAAGGATGTGGTATGAAGGGCTGTTTGGTGAGTCTGCAATGAACCCTTCAGGAATGGCCAGGCTGCCAGACCAGGCTGGGCTGAACCATCCCATGTCTGACCCCAAGGCAACAAGGCCAACAGGAAGACGATCCAAGACGAGTTGAACTGCTGAGGAGCCAGGACACCCTGCAGGAAGCACGAGCACGACCTAACGTGACTTAAACAATGTGTTAAGCGCTGCAGTATTGATAGTGAAAGCTCTGGGAATCTCTAACAGGAACTGGTTTCCTTCCCAATTTTAGAAACAGCAAAACACGGTGGCCTTGGGCAGCGTGGGGGCCGTGGGCCCGGCTCGGGGCCGCCCTGGGGAGCAGGAAAGGGAGGGACAGCAGCACTGTCCCACCAGTCAACAGTTCAGTCAGTTCATCCTTCCACGAGGCTGAAATACAGAGCTCTATATGCTCGACTGCAATCCCAGAGATCCTCACAGTGCCTGGACACATCCTGCCCTCACACTCAAACCCAACTGTATGTCAATTTTAATTCTTCAAACACTAACCCCCTAACACCTCTCTGCGGAACTAACCCCTGCAGAAGGTAGGGATGTGTGTGAAACACCTGCAGAACACCCACAAGAAACGCCAGATTCACAAATGGATCTAAAAATAAGGAGCCTGTAGGCAAGGCAGTAGCATCTAACGCAAGATACCACCTCTGGTCATGAACTCTGTATTGGGGATATCATAGGTACCACTTAACTTCACAAGAACAGCTTTAGTAGAGTTATTAACTTAATTTTCTGCATCAACTGAGTAATTCAGAAGTGTCCCCAAGCAGGATTCCTAAAATCTCAGAGCAATCTAATTACCCAGAAGGATTTAGTGGTAGAATTTAACCACCATACATAGACAAATAAAAGGGTTTTACTACACCAGAACATGACATGCTTCTGTTTTTATGGATTTTAAAAATAAAAGTTATCTGGAAGTGTAAATGTAATGCATAACTCATTTTTATGCAAGCATTCCTAATTTAATCACTACCTTCTCCCAGTAACAGAGAGAAAAACTGTACAGCAATATTTTTCTGACATAAAAACCACTGCAAAAGAGTATTTTCCAGCACAAAAATTAAAAAAACCCTATAGTTATATTTTTAAATGACATATAAAGCAATAAATCCAATTTCCCAAGAGAGCAATACTTTGCTGCAGTCAAGTTCCTGCTCTGATGAAAATAAGTGACAGTATGACATTAATATGTGAATTAAGATCAGTTTGGAAAGAGTTCCTTAAATCCAAACAATCCTGGATTGAGTCCAGAAAACTGCTTAAGTGAAATTTCTGGTAATAAATCATGTGGAAGGAAAAAAATATTACAATAACTATGAAAAAACTGTAGAAATGTGATATTTTAAAGACATTAGCACATTGGCGAGTGCTCTAGAAGGAAACCTTTGGTTCTGACCCTTCCCTGAAAGACAAGCATCTGGCTCTGGAGCACAATATGACAGCAAAGAGGGGACAAAGGTGCTCAGGGCACAGATAGCAGCTCTGTCCTGACACATCTCACTGCTCAGAAAGATGTGCCAGACACTGCTTGAAACTTGTGAAAACAAAAGTACCTGTTCTGCTCAGAAAAACCACATTATTATTCTCAGATGATTATTGCTCAACCTGCCCCTGGCTCATGGTGGGATTCCTGGGGTGTTCTGAGAAGAGACAGGAGCCGGACTTGGATTATCCTCATGGGTCCCTTCCAACTGAGGACATTCTAGGATTATATTTATCATTCCTTGGACAGAATCCTGAATCCAGCCATCTCAAGGGCTGGATGAGGCAGTTGAACTGCCATGCTTTTTTAGAAGGAAGGAACTAGGTGCCACAGCCCTGCACAACCCCTGGTCTTGGTAAAAATAGTTGGAACGATCCCCTCCTACCCCCAGGAAAGGATTTATGGAATAACCATTTCCTTCCACAAAGAGCACCTTGGGGCTGGCTGGTTTCATATGGCCCATCAGTAGCAACAGCCTCGGTGATTTCCATGTTCCATTTTTTTAAGAGAAATTAGGCAAATATTGGCTATTACAGAAAATAAGTGTTGGGGTTTTTTTTAACAGAAAACAATATCTTTTCCCTACTCTGCCACCAAGGATTTCACAATGCACTTCCAGCCTGAACATCTCTGTGGGAAGGGGAAGATGGGGCCTGTGTCTTGCAGAAGAGGAAACACAAACCTCAGCGACAGTTTGTCCACATTACACCCACAGTGACAAAGCACAGAAGCCAACGGAGACCCGAGTTCCACAAAGCCCAGTTTGGGGTTATCAGGCCCATCCAGGCAGCTCTGGGGGGCTCTGCAGAGGTGCCTGTTGCACTTCTGAGCTCACCAGCCATGAAAAGCTGTTCTCACCACACAGCCACGACAGTCTCCAACATGGGAGCTCCAGGACTGGTTGTGGATGCCAAATTTTTAGGTGGATTAACAGCACTGATTACACAACCAGATGTGTAATCGGCACAGCTGTTATTGTGCCTTTTGCAGAGACATCTGGGTTCCCAGTTAAATGACTAATTGTGCTGTGATGATCTTCCCAGTTCCATGTTATTCCGGGCAGTACATAACTCCTGCCCCTGGGCACGGCACACGCCACTCCAACCTCACAGCTCCCTTTCATGAATTAAAGGAATTCTCTTATTCCACAACTTTCAGACCTATTTCATCCTTAATAGTCCAAGTGCTCCAGCCACTCCTGCCCAGGTGTACCCAACCTGAATGAGCAGCACTTCGTACAAAATCTCTCTTCTAACTCTTTCAAATTTCTGAGAATCTAAAAGAAATTACACTCTAATGACCTGACAATCCTTAAGGAAAGAAACCAATGGTTCTTCTTGCTTCTCCACTGCTCAATGCCTCCTATGTGCTGGCCTGTAAGAAAACTGCCTCCACCTGCAGCAGCTTGTGAACTATTCTCTTCCCAACATTCACATTCAGTGTTGGAGCCACAAAATCACAAATTAAAGTTAATAGGACAATTATTACTCATTTCCCTCAATTTCTTGTCCAGTCTCTACTATAGACATTTTCCCCCTTCTTTTAGGACTCCTGACACTCCTGGACAATCCACAATTTATCTCTGGTGAAAACAGGTAACTTGATTAAAAGTCTAACTGATAAATCACAGATTCCAGAAGGGTTTGGGTTGGAAGGGACCTTAAAGATCATCTTGTTCCACCCCCTGCCGTGGGCAGGGACACCTTCCACTAGAACAGGTTGCTCCAAGCCCTGTCCAACCTGGCCTTGAACACTTCCAGGGATGGGGCAACCACAGCTTCTCTGAGCAACCTGTGCCAGGCCTCACCACGCCCACAGGGGAGAATTCCTTCCTAATATTCCATCTAACCCTGCCCTCTGTCACTGCCAAGCCATTCTCCCTTGTCCTGTCACTCCAGGACCTTGTCCAAAGTCCCAGTTCTCCTGAAGCCCCTTTAGGCACTGGAAGGGGCGTTGGGTTAGTGGTGACCTTGGCAGTGCTGGGATAACAGTTGGACTCGATGATCCTGACGGTCTTTTCCAGCTTTTATGATTCTCTAATCTCTGCAAGATGCAGACCTGAGAATAAAGCCCAGGTTTTGCCACTTTGGAATCCAAGGCAGGAATCCTCACATTCCAGGTACTTATGCTCTTTGCACACCTGTTGTACAAGCCTAGAACAAACCCACACACAATTTTGTGTCCAGAGGGAGTGGGGATGTGTTTCCACAGAGCTGCACACTGAGTGTTTAGTTCATACATCACAACGTGAGGAAAAGGAACCTTTCCAGCAGCATCACCCGTAGCCATGGTGACACGAGCCAGCTGCCAGGCTTGTGCAATGAGGGCACAGCACTCCAAGGGCTCTGAGACCTCCAATCCTGCCTAGAATTCCTCTGAGCCCAATAAACCACAGCCACCATGGAGCATCTGCAGGTCCCGGGGCTGGGGGAGCCAATGCCAGGGGGGAAGTGGCTTTTTACACACACTAGTGATGGGTTCAATTTTAAGTAGACTTTAATGTTAATCAATTCCATTTTTAAACAGATTAGATAGGCAGCCTGGCTTGGTACACCTTGATAGGTACTCAGCTAAAGTACATTAAAAAAAACAAAAGGAAAAGTTGGATAATATCAGAGCCACAGGAAAGGGAGGATGAACAGCTAACTGGAGTTGTCTCTGCAATAGCACCTTAGATTCTGCATCACTACTACCAAACTATAGGAAAAAAAGGCTTTTTTTTTACAAGATAGAAACTTGTTTTGGAAAAGTTTCAAATAGAAATACTTGAAAAAGGGATATTTAAAAAATCAGGAGGAGGGGAGAATGAATTACCTAAGAAATGGGCACCCCCTCAAGCCTCTGTAGCTGAGAGGCTCATCCTGCAGCACCCAAACTGACAAGCCAGTTTGGTTTTCCCTTCTCATTTCAGACACACTGTTAAAATCAGGGGGAGGCTCAGGTGGGGGTTAATTTTTGCATGTCACACAACTGAATTGATCGAGTATGCATTATATGTAACAGCTTTTATATTATATGGAAGAAAGAATAACAAGTCAGTGATACTTACTCCTGTACTGACAAGAGACAGCATAATTCTTTCATTTAAGGCTAATGTTTCTCCTTGCTTCATCTTGATTCTCTTCTTATCTAAACATTTCATTGCATACCTGAAAATAACAATCATTCAGAAAGAGCACCACAAAACTCCTCTATCAGTATTATTCACTAGCAGTGAGGCCGTGCACATCTACAGGATCCTGTAAGCAAGCTCTATGAAAGATTTAAAACCCAAGACTAAAAAATCATTTCACGCTAAACCCAAAACCTCCAAACTCTCCCAGAATTAACACATTTCCAGCAGAAGTCTCCTAACAGAGAAATGTGCTTTAACAAGTAATTCTGTGTCCAAACCGCCACAGTGGGATAGGAATTACATATCGTACATTTATTTTTTAATACCTACAAACAAGGATCTGCCATAGGAATTAAATAACAGACTCTGTTATGGTTCCATTTCATTCCAACAGTTTCAGCTCTACCAGGAAAGCAATATCTTGAACACACGCTGAGTTTTATATATATATATTTTTTTTAAGTTTTCTTTCTACTCAGAAAAAGGTCAGATACACAGAAGAAAGCTTTTTTAATCTTCTACCATCTGTGCTACACAAATTAATAAAATTGTGCTCAGAAAGAATGTTACCCTAACAACCATCAACCACAGGAGGATATGATGTAGGCTGGAGATTTTTCCAAGACGTTGGGTGAGTCCACTAATAGGCAACAGTGAGAAGGACATGTGCTCCTGCACAGAAGATGCCTAGACGTGGGCACCCATCGATTTTTAGGAAAACACCACGTTACAGCACTGCACCAACCCTCAGCTCCTGCCTCGCTGTGCCAGCCCCACCCAGACCCAGGGCCTCACCTTGGCCCCAGTTCCCTAAACCAGCCACGTCATTCGTGCCATGCACGTGTTGGGAGTGAGGGGAGTGAGAGTGAACACACTGCAACTGTGAGTTTCCAAACTGGGAATATATTCACGGCACGTGCTCTTGCTGAGGAGGCTGTGAAGGGTGACTATAAATAACCCCTGACACGCTGCCCTGCCCTGCTCTGATGTCCCTGATCAGAGAGTGACTCAAGGCTGATGGAAATCATGGAACCCCAGAATGGTTTGGGTTGGAAGGGAGTTAAAGCTCATCCAGTGTCACCCCCTGCCATGGGCAGGGTCACCTTCCACTAGACCAGGTTGCTCCAAGCCCTGTCCAAGCTGGCCTTGGACACTTCTATAGGTGGGCAGCCACAACTTCTCTGGGCAACTTATTCCAAAGCAAGCCTCTAGCTGGTCCTGCTGTCCCTTCCCCTGGAATACTGGCTGCATCCTACTTCTGACCCCTCTTTGGATGTCCTTGAAGGGGTGATGGTGACATGACAGGAGCCTCAGGCGTGTCTGTGGTTAGTGGAACACTGCTGGTGTTACCTGGGAGGGAGGGGTGGTTCCCACGCTCCTTTCAGGCAGTAAGTGAAGCAGAGGCAGCATCTACAGTGGACAGGATCTGGACAGGATGGGTAAACAGGTTTGGATTAAGAAAGAACTAAACCAAACCTCTACCCAGAGGCTGAACCTAATCTAAATTTTTGCTTCAAATTTGAAAAAAAGATTGGTTTTCCCACATTTCCCTCTAACTCTGTTTGTATCTGATAAAAACTGTCCTTTGCTTCACTCTTCCTGTCCTTTTCACTTCCCAAGGTTTATCCACCTCCTGCCAGAGCCAAACTCAGACGTGAAGATGGCTGGGACTCTGAAAATTGCCTCTTTGGGGATGCCTGCTTAATGTGCCTCAAGCTAAATAAAATGTTTATTTTTGTACATGGACAAAAAAGCACCAAGGCAAGAATATAAAGCCAGTGTTGTTAGTAAGAGCATCAATATAATACTCGAAGTCACTGCAAAAATACTAAGTATGACAGCAACATTAAGATGTCTTACACTTGTTACAGCTCAGAGGTTTATTATTATCAGGAGTGCCAAGCACACACAACTGCTAGAGAAGCCAGCTGAAACCAGAGACATGGCACTTCAAACATGCCAAGCTCTCTTGGAAAAGAAATGTTTAAGGATGGTCCCTGGACTAAAACTGTTAGGAGAAAAGCAAGATGAAAGGGGCAGGATGGGGTATAAATAAATAAATTGATAGATATTGAGAACAATTTGTTAAATCCATGCCCAGATGTTCAAATCGGAACAAATGGGACAAGGATGCCTAGAAATTGAAATCTGACAATCAGGAGAATGGTAAGACCACAAAAAGAATAGAAAAACCATCCAGGGTTGATCCTGGAGTTCCCACAGAGAGCTCTGTGAAACACAAATCGAACACTGGAACTATATGCTTCCAAATGTCAGCAAGGATCACTGCTTTCACCATACATCAGGGCAGACACTGATGTAATTCCCTGAATCTGGAATAGCACACTTGGAATCAACCCTGGCACAGCCCAGTTTGCCCAGCACTGAGGGTGGGTCCCTGCAGCCCCTCCAGCCCCACGTCAGCACCAGGGATGCGACAGGCTGAACCTTCCCCAGGTGACATCCGACATCCCCCCACGGCTTCCTGGGAACATCCCTCTGCACTGCCAGCCTCTGATCCAGGGAATTTTTAAGGACACGTTTAATTGTAACATGTGCAGCTTCCATTGATTTTGACAGGACATTTCAGTGCAGGATGTGCCCAAGAGCTGTGGGAGACTGACCCACTGCATGGCACAGAATGGGACCAAAGAGCAAACTGAGCCTAGAGATGAGCCAGAAATCAAAACCTCTTGGGATAAAACTTAATTACAAAGACCTTCACAGTAACATGATGCTGCTTTCCAGTGATTTCTTAAGAAATGACTGGAAGGATTTCCTTACTAGTTCAGAGTTTACAGTTACCTCTGCAATACAGTGTGTGTGATACTCACATTTTTCCAGTGTCTGCTTTTCTGCAGCCGTACACTTCACCAAAACCCCCTCTTCCTATTATTCTATGTACACTAAAATCATTCATGGTCAGCTGCAAGTAGGAAAAAAAACAAAAAAACACAACAACAGAACAAAACCTTCATTTTTCAGCATTAAAAAACGTACTGTAAAAACATCTAAATGTGTTGAGACACTCAACTACTGTAATTCACCAGCATTTATTGTGTTGGAAAACGAGCCTCTTTTTGTTTATATTTCAATGTATTTGCAAGCATTACAGTGTGTAGTAGGAGCAAGGGGAATGAGGCTGTTGTTCCCCAAAAACTGCCTGTCTCATTCAGGGCTATTTCTGCAGCCCAAGTTGTCACGGAGCAGTGCAGAGGGACAAAGGCAGAGGCCAAGGGAAGGGGTCCAAAGGGTGCTGGGGCCACGGCAGGACTGCCATGGGAGAGGGAGCGGGAGAGTGACTGAGGCTGCTAAAGAGCAGCAATTCTGACAGTTCACCTCCTTCAGCCATTATAGAAATCCAAATTCTATTAAGTGAGGACAGGCAGAAGGGATGTCCAGACAGGAATCGTCAAGGCTGTGTCTAAGAATAGCAGAGCAGTGACATCCACCGCCCTCCTTAATGAGGCCTTTGCAGAGCAGGATTCAAAACTGAACATTCTCTTTCCTGTACCAGCCTTTGACAAGATAAATATACTTTTAAGTACTTACATGAATATTTAGCTCTACGTTTTTCCATTGACAAAATCTAGTAAACTTGTCACTGTAAAAAAGAAAAAAAAGTTTAGAAGTTGTCTGAGACTATTGTGTAAAGTATTACAGGAAATGTCAAGACTCTGATATTTAAAATCTAGTCTGAGCTAGGGCGTGGGGTGGTATTTAATAAATGACAGCCTTCCTTTCACCAACTGTAATCTTACCCCCACCAAGAAAAACAATTCCTAGGCAGAGCACACTTTGTATTTCACATCCTTGTAGGAGAAAGAGAGCAGATAACCTTATCCCTGTAAGTGCTCAGTGTGTCCCCACATCTCTCTTGCAGATGTTTTTTAATTTTTAAACAACTGCGTTTGGAACGAACAAACATTGAAATTACATCAAGAGAAAGATAATTATAAGAAAACAGAGGCAGCTCGATTTATGTTAATGAGCTTCCATATACTCCAAGGAACATTTTAAACTCGTTTTATCTTAAAATAGGAAAAACATCAGTAATACCACAGGCTTTTGGGGAAAAAAAAAAAAAAGCTGATTATTTCTACATGAATAATTAAGTATTTATTTTCAGAGTAAGGAATAACAGTTTCATGAAGGCATTTTTACAATTATCACAGAATAGCACCAAACCAGTTTATAGAGTGGATTTGAGTGTTGCTGGGTGAGAGCTGAGCTTTCCAGACCCTGCCCACAGGAGCAGCTCTGTTCAGGTTAGAAGGGCTGCTCTGCCGAGCCAGGTCTGTTGCCTTGAATTCTGTATTAAACCTTTTCTGCCTAATTTCAGGTTCCCAGTCACAGATCATAACAACAGGGCCTCCAATCCCACACCAGAGATGGTCACTCATAGAATGTCCCCCAAGGACCCAGTTCTGCCTTTTTAAACCTTTGAGCCCCAACTCCAACCTGTTATTGCTGTTACTGAGAAAAGCATCACCTTTTACAACTGTTCCACTCACACATCCTGACATTAATCAGGATATCCCACAAAGCTGGTTATTTGCAAAGTTTGCAGATAAACTCCATTTGATTAACAGGGCATTATTACACATCTCTGGCCTGATTTTACAGCAGTAGTGAAGGGATGTGGCTTCCCACTACATGGGGTAATATGATGACATTTCAGGTAATACGTCATGTTCATACCTTTCCATAAATTTTTGAAATATTTTTCCTCGGAGACTATCACAAATTTCTTCTATATATGGCTAAAAAGGGTGAAGAAACACAATTAGTATTTAAGCAGACAATAAATGGCTTTTGCAATCCCATCCATCACAGAGAACTCTCATTAGCCCCACACAGCACATCCTGTGTTTTCCTTAAGAAGCCTCAATGAAACATTTAAGCTTTATTTGGCTTCTGGAATCTGAGCAGGTGCTCTGAGGTCAAAAACAAAATATCTTCATGAGCTAGAAAATCTTAAAGGTTTACCTTGGGAGAGGGGCAGGGGGGCAAAAGTTCTTCTCTCAAATGTATTTAAACAATAAATTGTCAGCCCTGTTGAAACCACACTTCCCACAGCTGCTCTCTCATCTTTGTGGTGCTCCTCTCCTCTCTGTCCTTGCTAAGGGACCAGTACCTTCAATTCACAAGTGACTTTTCCTAGGGAAATCCCTTCCCTGTGTGTGGGATAGCCCCAGGCAACCTCTCCCTCCTCCCACCTAACGCTGAGATATCACCCAGCACTGCAGGTACAAGTTTGTCATTTCTCCTCATTGCAACAGCCAGAGCAGCTCATGAGCAGCAGGAGAGATCAGGTAGGGGCAACCTCCACATTTTTGCAACACATGAAAATACATCAGATTCAGAGAAAAGACATTTAAACTTACGAACACCCCCATGACTGATAAGACAATTTTTCCAGTTTAATCTATCCTGACAGGATGAGCATTTTCCTGATGTAAAGTGATTTACTCTAAATCGTTTAATGGCTTAAAATTACAGAAGTATAAAAACTCCTCTGTTCCTATACCAAGGTATAGCTTGCTTTCATAAATGTGCTCAAAAATATTATAGATAAAAGAGTAATTTGTAATTTTGACTTAGAAAAGCATTTCAATCCCACTAGTACAGCACAGAATACGTAACCAATCCCATTTATTCTGTCTCCTAAAATAATACGTACAAAGTCACTTACTGTCAGAGAACTGAAGCTGAACATTCACACTGTGAAAGCTCACCTGAAAAAGGCTGGCTGGCACTTGTTTCTTGGCTAAATGTGTTTGTACATGATCTACAGCTTGTTTTGAGAAAGGCTTTTGGAAGAGAAAAAGAAAGATTTCAAACAGTTGGAGATGTCAGGAATTTCATTTCAGGTCACAGCACTGTTGTTCTTTTCCTCATATGGAAAAACACCGGCCCCAGAATGAAACAATACGGCCTCCCCCAGGTACATTACAGTCAATATTGGTGTGAAACATGCAGGATGATGCAGTAATACGATTATTCTAAAGCAGGAAGGCAGAAGAAGAGAAGATGAGGAGGAGGGCGAGATGATGCTCCTTTTAGAAAGCCATGAAAAATCCCATTTACAGGGACAGCTCCAGAGCTAGAAGCAGACATGGACTTTTTACTAATAAAATAATGTATTTTTGACGAAAAAAATGCTTAAACCCTTCACCCAAGGAACCAATCCACCAGGGCAAAACACCCTGCAAATCCTTCTTTGTAATAAGAGTAAATGAAACTGTTAAAAACACATCAATGGGCCAAAACTTCAGCTGGAGGAAATGCATATTTTCAGTGACTTTAACCAAGTTGCATCTGCCACAACATGGCACATCTCTACATACACACACAGCACTCATCTAATCTTATTTTAAAATAGAGATTTACTTTGAAGAAATATAAACCAGATAAATCTCCTGATACTTCCTTTGCGTACCACTAATAAACAGTTTAATAAAAATGGGCCCATCCCACCAGTCTTTACATCTCAGTACTGCAACTAAAAAAATAAAAGCAACAAGCTGAATTCAGCCAAAGCCAGAGCCGGGATTTCCAGAACAGAAATCCAGAGCTCTGCAAGTATTTGTAACTATTCCTTCAGCAATACTGTGAGTGAAGCAGCAGATCTGTTGCATGATCCCTGCTGCCAGGGTACCCTGGGCAGGGGGAATTGGGAGGATACACACGTGGGAACAGGACAGCAGCTCCTTCATGATGTAGGTGTCGTAGATCTGCCGGCTGCGGCACAGCCGCTCCTCCTCTGAGTCCAGCTTCTCGTACTCCTTGATCTGCAGAAAGGGGACAGGGAGCATCAGACAACTTCTAATGATTTTTCACTCATTTGGGGAAAAAAAAAAAAAAAGCAGCTTTATTTTGCTTCGTTATTTTCTAAATTAACACTTAAAGGAAAACCACCTGCAACACCACAGTTACAGCTGACCTGAGACTTCCTTTCTAGCCTGGAATTTTCCAGGCACAGCTGCTCAAGGAATGGTGGAGTCTCCACCACTGGAGGGATTTAACAGACATGTGCACGTGGCACTTGGGGGACATGGTCAGTGGTGGCTTTGGCAGTGCTGAGGGAACAGCTGGACTCAATGGTCTGAGAGGGCTTTTCCAACCCAAAAAATTCCCTAATTCTATGATTACAGCATGGTGGGTACAGATGTCCAAGAACGAATAAAAAGCACATTTCAGAATGTTCACATAGTTCAGCTACATGCTGAATTTGAACCCTAAATTCACGAAATATATCAGGTTTCCTCAGGTGTGCTGTAGGAGATCAGTGTGTTCCAGGTGAAACAACAGAAATCTCACGTGGTTCATTTACAGAACAAAACCTGACAACCAGTTCCAGAACAAAAAGTTCACCAAGTCCAAGAGCCCTTCGGAGCATAATTAGGGAAAGAGTTCTTCCAGGACTGACAGAACATAAGAACCATGCAAGATCTTTAGGGACAGGACCCAGCTCTGACTTGGTGGGCATTCCCAGCATCAGCCTCTGAGGTCCTGGGATCCAAACAAATGTGCAGATTTGCTCCACACCACAGAATCCCAGAAACACTTAGGTTGGAAAAGACCTCCAAGACCATCAAGTACAATTACTGAGAGATAAACTGGGACCAACCTACCTCTGAAGGTGGAACATTAATTAAACTCAGTATCTTTCTGGCCGTACTCCTCTTGTTTGCTGATATGATAAGGCCCCAGATCCACCCCAATTTGCCATCTGTGTGTCTTCCCCCTTGATACCAACTTATAATTAAAGTGATTCAAAATGTCTTTGCTCAAGAAACACTTTTAATTAACGCAATGACACAAAATAATTAGAAGTACAGGAGGAAGCCTGATCTATATCTGATTGTCTTCCTTGAACACAAGCTCCTGCCCCTCAGTATTTGGTTGTTAAAGCTCTCAACTCTGCACCCAGCGCTGAGGGGTCTCACAGCAGCCACCCCAGCCATGCTGGGCCCAGTCAGCATCTCCCACCTTCCCCTCCACTGGGATTCTTAATGAAGAAACCCTTTGTTTTGTAAAGGTTTGGAGAGCAGGACAGCAGGTAACAAACGTCCTCACTGGTGATCTCTCTTCCTGGCCAGGAGAACGTCCCTCCCACAGGCTGCCTGACACAGCGCATCACACAGGTGATGAGATCAGACACCTCTCTGTGATCACACCCAACACAGCCCTGACATCATCACAAGCAAATTTCACATGTTTATTAAAGACAACATCACCGTACCATGCCAAAAGAACCCACAGAAGGAAGAGGTGAGAGTGTCCCATTTCTAACACATCCTGTCCCTGCCAGCACAGCTTCCACTCCTGACCCCAAGAGAAGGGAATGTCATCAGGTACCCGACACTCCCCTGGCAACTTGCAGCTCCCTTCTGGAAAAGGGGCTGACAAAGGATCTCCTCAAAAACTGGCATTAGAATTCATTTGTTTTCAAGCACCTAGAAGCATTTCTTTTTTTCTTCTTCTTCTTTTTTTCACCTTTTTTTCCAAATTCCTTTTCTTTTCTTTTTGAAACCGATCAGGATGAATCACTCATCCCGTTAAATGCCTGATCGTGACTCCAGCTGCAGTGATATGAAATCCCTGGAGTGCGGAGCTCTTCTACATCCAGCAATTTTTAATGTAGCAATGCACTCACATTATTCTACATGTAATAAATGCAGCAAGTAAATCAAATATGTAAAAAAAGGAAAAGCTCCTGGATCCGGTATGTCACAGAGGAAAACACAATGAGCCTCTCTTTAAATATCCTTAATGGGATTTTTCCAGAAGTACATGACAAAGCACTGAAATTCTTTTGAGGCAACACTTTGCTAATAACCTAAAAATACAATTTTGAATTGTTTCAGAGATAAAGAGGGATCTAAAAATATCTTGCTAAACAATCTGGTACAACAGGCCTTTTTGGATTACTTATGACAGTGATATCGTCAGTGCATAAAAAGATGGAAATGACAGGAAAAGATCCATTATTGACAGCAGGTATCTGATCTGAGTGGGGGACAGTGTATCACTGAGGACTGATCCCCAAACCGATCCCAGCCATTTGTGCTTGTAGCCTACTGGCACAAAAGCATTTAAATTATCAGCTCAGAGTGAGGCAGACAGAGCTATCCCAGGGAGCAGCTCTAATTAACCCTGAGCAATCAGGCATGTGCATGTCTGCACTGAAACCAGCACCTGGGAGAGGATTAACTGTGGGTTTATAGTGTCACAAATGGAACAGAGAGTGAATGAATGGAGGGATGGGGCTCAGGCCGTGCAGCAGGGGTGGCTGGGGGAGGACATGGCATGTTCCTTGGAATTACTGGTCCTTTGGGATGTGCCCTGGGCTTGGTGCCTGTCAGCTCCTTCACTGAGTAGCTCGTGACAAAGGAGTACAACTCATGGATCTAAAGCCACCTCTTGTGTCCCTGTTAGAGGATCCTCTTACCTCTATGCAGCTCTGCCACAGCAACTCCCAAAACATCTCACAGAATCAAAGGATATGCTGAGTTGGAAGGGACCCACAAGGATCATCCTGGCCCTGCACAGGACCATCCCCAAGAGTATCATCCAAATGCTTCTGGAACCCTGTCAGGCTTGGTGCTGTGACCAAGACTTCCCTGAGGAGCCTGTTCCAGCAGCAGCTTCCATCCTACCTTCCTCCCACCATGCCATGACACCCCAGATGCACTCTGTTAGCTTTTCTACAGGTAAAAGGATGTTAGGAAAAGGCCTGAAGGGTTTGAGAGTGTCATCCCAACTCTGGCAACTCTCACAGCTCCTTTCCTAGCAGCCCATGCAGCTGCTCAAAAAAAATTGGGCAAAACCCATCTATGCTACTTGAAATACTCTCTAAGAGTCCTATACCAAATTAGAAGATTGATTAAATATTCACACTGCTACACATGGACCCCCTCCTTCCCTCTCAGCCATTCCCTGCCCGAGGAGGAGCAGCACAGCCTTCCTCAGCCTCGCTCCCTGCAGAGCCCCAAACCTCCCTCACTGGCCACTTACCTCTTCATAAAACTTCAGCTGGGGGACAGCTTCATCTATCTCATTCATGCAATAGTCTTTAAAGAGCAAAAATCCTGGAAAGAAAAACAGAAAACTCAGAAAAAAAAAGGTCTCATTACGATGATGACTTGTAAAAAGGCACCCAAAACCACCTAGGTACCATCAGGGGCTGTAAATACCTGTGTGAGCATCCCCACTTGCCAAGGTTTAGGATGCTGATTACCAGGCAGCTCTTCATTCCCAGCACAAAGGGATCCCAAGCCTCCCTCACCTCCCACAGGTGTATTAAGCCCATTCCCACTCCTACGTGCTGAGGATTTTATGAGGCACTTCCATAATGCACCAAAATATCCCATTCCTCTTCACAGACCACATTTTCTTCCTTTTTTTTCCACACTGAAAACAAGACACTATTCATGTTTGGGGTTTTCTGCAACAGATTTACCTACATTTTATTGATAAAACACAGCCTCTTTTGCATTCCCATTTCAGAATTACCGGTTCATGTTACCTCTAATGGGCTTTTATTGCACAATAAATTACACCAGGGTCTTTACAATTCCTTTGCAAGTAATTTAGAGCCTGACCCCAGCACCCAGATGATGAGGATCCTTCCATTATGAGCATTTTAATGCAGTCACAAGCTTCATCCCATGGAAGCACCATCCTTCCATGCCCCTGAGCTGGCACCTGCTACCCTGGTACTTCACACAGGGTTCTGTGTCACAGGGGTGGGCTGAGAACTGGATGAAGTCACAGATGTCCCCATCACTGCCAAAACCCACCCAAAGTTGCCCATCTCCCCATCCAGACCGTGCCCCTCCACTGAGCACACCCCTCCCTGCCAGCCTGAGTGGCATGGACCTGGTTTTGAGGACAAAACGTGCCACTTAGGGACCTGAAACAAATTCCTTGTTTCACACATGACGGAACCGGCGGCGGCACGGAGCAGAATCCTGCTGAATGGACTGAACTCTCCTTGGACAATGAACCAAAGAAGATTGCAGCCGGGTAATTAAGAGACTGAAGAGTGGCACAAACAGCGCTGAATGCACTGAAAGAAAAATCCCTGGCGTGGTCCCAGGTCCTGGCTGGGGACCAAAAAAACCCACAAACAACAAAAAAACACAACAACAAACCACAAAGACAACTGTGGGAGGAGTGTGAAAATATACCAACACACATTTCCAACAATGCCACGCCAAACATTCCAGCCCTGCTTAGTATTTTCCAAACTTTTTTAATTTAATTATGGCAGAGAAAGAAAAGGTTCCCAATCCCAGGGCACAGGGAACAATTGGAGGCTTATGCTGCCGTGGGATACAGTCTGCTCCTCCCCGGGGCCCTTTGGCACTGCAGTGCCATGTAAAAAACCAGATATTCCCAAAATTTACAGGCTGAGAGAACTGGGAATGTTCAGCCTGGAGAAGAGAAGGATGTGAGGAGATGTCACAGCACCTTTCAGTATCAGAAGGGGACTATGAGGAAGTCGGACAGGGCCTCTGCATCAGCAACTGGAGTGACAGGACAAGGTTTCAGACCAAAAAGGGGGAAATTAGGTGAGATATGGGGAAAAAATTCTTCCCTGTGAGGGTGGTGAGGCCCTGGCACAGGTGGCCCAGAGAAGCTGTGGCTGCTCCATCCTTGGAAGTGTTCAAGGCCAGGTTGGACAGAGTTTGGAGCAACCTGATCTAGTAGAAGGTGTCCCTGCCCATGGCAGGGGGTTGGGCTAAATGAGCTTTCAGGTCCCTTCCCACCCAAACCATTCTATGATTCAAACAAATCCGATTAGACTTAATGTTCTCCAGACTGGAATTGTTTCTGTTTCGACCTCCCATTCTGTCAACAGATCCTGCACTTCCCCGGCAGCACAAAGGAAATCTCCTTTACTGCTGCTCTTGGATTGAGTGAAAAATGATCAGCCAGAAACTGCAGCTCTCGGATAATGGCAAAACGAAGTGACAGATGCAGCATTGAGTAAGTGACAGGAGTTTTAAGAAGTTCAGGGAGAACTGACGAAGAGCACAATAAGCACAGTTAACGACACACAGAAAAATAAGCCCAGGAACAGAAAGCAGGAATTAATAAAATGATAGCGTTAAGTAACAGCTAAAAAGAACCAGCAATTATTTATGAAATAAAGATGCTGACAGCTTTGGCTTTAAAGATTCCTTCTGCTATAACTATATAATTTCTGCAACAGCCAGATCACTGGTTGTTAAGGGAAGAGAAAAATATTTTTTCAAAGCTTTTTCTGGTAACACCAAAGTGATGGATGATATCAATAATATACACACAGTGCGAGGCAGCACCCAGCTCCCAGACTCCTCCTTCCCAGCCTCTGGACAATAATTTTTCCCATTATCTTTGTATGGACAATCTTAGGCTAAATTTGCCAAATGCCATGAATTGCACCGAGACTAATTAACAGGCAAAATGTCTTTCAAGGAGGGGTAAAGGCCACCCTTGAGGTTTGCAGCTCAGTCTTCAGAGGATGCTCACAGGCAGGTAGGGATGGGGGTGAGGAGAGCAGATCCAGCCGAGACACCTCACCTGTAACCAGGTATTCCCAGAGCTCATCTCCAACCGGATGAGATCCTTTTCACAAGCTTATTTAAAGCCACCTGTTTGCTAGCAGAGCCTTTTAAAAAAATAAATAAAATTTATTTGTAATGTAGAGCCCTTCTCTTACAGTTTTAATAAAGAAACACTGCCCATTCAGAGAATCCCATAATTGTTGGAGTTGGAAGGGACCTCTGGAGACCATCCAGTCCAGCCCCCCTGCCAAGGCAGGATCACCTGGAGCAGGTGACACAGGGACATGTCCAGGTGGGTCTGGAATGTCTCCAGAGAGGAGACTCCACAGCCTCCCTGGGCAGCTGTTCCAGAGCTCTGCCACCCTCCAGGGAAAGAAGTTCTTCCTCAGGCTAGGGTGGAACTTCTTGTTTTACTTTATGGCCATTGCTCCTTGTCCTGTCACTGGGCACCACTGAACAGAGTCTGGCACCATCCTCACACCCCTTGGAGATATTTGTGTGAACTGATGAGATCCCCTCTCAGTCTCCTCCAGACTAACCAGTCCCGGCTCCCACAGTCTCTCCTCATAAGGGAGATGCTCCAGACCCCAAATCATTTTTGTGGTCTCCACTGGACACTCTCTAGCAGCTCCTTGTCTTTCTTAAACTGTGGAGACCAGAACTGAATCCAACACTCCGGATGTGGCCTCACCAGGGCCACTGGCTGGGATTGAAGTCACCTTCTCAATTCACACTTCCCTGGCATTTTCCTGCCCTGCTCCCAGTGTCATGGCAGCAGGACTGCCTGGTCAGCAGGATGGGCAGGTGTGGAGCTGCTGCCAGCTGGGAATGGTTCTGCCAACATCCCCCAGGACAGCAGCCAGGAGGGCCAGCACTGCCTCTGCCTCCTCCAGCAGTCTAAAGGTCGCCTGCAGCCACAACACCACCTCTCCATCTCCACCAGAATGCCAATTAGCTGAGAGCATGGAATAATAAATAAAATAAAATAATAATGAGGAACTCCATCATAAAACACTTGGAGAAAATGACTTATCTAGTTTGAACTGGAATTTTATGAGTATCCGATTCAAACAACCTGTTAACAGGAGTAAATAAAAATCTTATTAAAGCAAACACGACCGACTAGGTGAGAGAGCTGAGCTAAAAATAGCCACATTTAGCCCCAATACAAGTGTTCACAATGTCTCTGATTGAAAGGAAGCTGCATCTATTTACAGCAGGCCTGAACGTGGTCCAAAATGCTGATGTAGACTCTTTCTAGTAGGCAAAATAGCAAATTAGAGAACAAAAATACCAAGCTGTTTCCAAATCCTAACGAAACGTGCTGTGTATAAATACGGAATCATGACAAACAAAGAAGTAGTGACATCTGCACCAGAGACGGGCTCGTTTCCCGGCACTGCAGCCAAAGGCTCCGGCTCCAGGCAGGAAAACTTTCAGCACAAGCCTATCAGGAATGTGGCTGGTGCTCTGCAAAGTGTGAAACACAGAGCTGGTCCCTACTCCAGGCATTTAAAGGTCTCTGACCCAAGTCCCTCAAAGACCTCTCCTGATCTTACAGGGCTGGAGTAACAGACCCGTCAGCACCAGTAACAGGTCTGGGTCATAGACACAAACATTAGGGGTAGAGGTTTACTATTAATCCATGTGAAAACTGTAATTCCAGCCAGGCTGCAGCTGTCACAGAACACCCAGTCAAGTTCAGATCCTGCTCTGCACCGAACACATACTCAGCTGCCACAGCACAGGGTTATTAACACCACCTAAGTGCTCCAGAATAGAGAGAACCATCAATTTCCTTCTTCAGGAACAAAGAGACTTGTTATTACTAGGGAAAACTGCATAGGAATCGTGCTTTGGCAAGGACCAAAGCCACAAAAATCCTCACAGCCCAGAAGGCACCACAGATTCCACTACTTTTCTTTCCCTAATCTATTCTTTGCTAATAGAGCCTAATGTTCATTCCCTTTACATTAAAAATAATACACCATAACAGACTGAAACATATTCCTGTGCATACAAAGCAGGATAGAAGAACAAACTGTATTTCATGAGAGGATGTGCATCCAATGGTGAGGAGCACAGAACAATTTCCCCAGAACAGAATCAAATTGAGCTCAAAATTAGTCTGCAAGTTGCCAGGTAGCTTGTTTAATGACGTCTAGAAATCATTATATGAAAATAAGCTTTGGCTAAAAGGTTTTAAGTGTTGTCAAAGAAAATCCTTATTTCCAGGCATATTTCCCAATAGCTTTTCACCCAGGGAAATCATTAACACTTGTTCAAGCTTGGGCAGCCCTCTTACCATATTGCCAGACCTGTGAACACCTTAAAGTCCTGCAGGGAGAGGAGCAGGAGAGCTCAACTGCTCCTCCAGCATGGCTGTTTGGGACACAGTGGAGGAGTATCCACAAATTCTGTGTCAAACCTCAAAGGCCTGATTGAACATGCAGATTCCAGCCAACTGAAGTCGAGTATCAAAGGCATTCAACATATCATCAAAGGTGAAAGAAAAATTAGGGTTGTACATAAGAAAA